GTTTGTTTTCTTGCACGAACTGTCAAGCGAAAGGTGTAGTAATAAGACTAAATTGGATTTTTGCAGCTCCTTGTGTTTTATATCAAGTATTAAAGTATTTGTATGTGGTCGTCGCCCGTCATAGTAACTGCAGTCCTTGACATTTTTTATCGTCTAAAAAAGTGATACAAATGTTTTATAACTTTAATCACGGTTTTACTTCCTGTTCGTTCATTCAATCAAGTCAATATCATTGTGCTATTAAACAGTGTATCAACAGCCACGACCAAACACCTCACTCTGTTACACAGTGTATCATCAGCCACGACCAAACACCTCACTCTTTTACACAGTGTATCAACAGCCACGACCAAACACCTCACTCTTTTACACAGTGTATTAACAGCTACGACCAAACACCTCACTCTGCTACATAGTGTATCAACAGCCACATCCAAACACCTCACTCTTTTACACAGTGTATCAACAGCCACGACCAAACACCTCACTCTTTTACACAGTGTATTAACAGCTACGACCAAACACCTCAATCTGTTACACAATGTATCAACAGCCACGACCAAACACCTCAATCTGTTACACAGTGTATCAACAGCCACGACCAAACACCTCACTCTGTTACACAATGTATCAACAGCCACGTCCAAACACCTCACTCTGTTACACAAACATCTCACTCTGCTACACAATGTATCAACAGCCATGACCAAACACCTCACTCTGCTACACAGTGTATCAACAGCCACGACCAAACACCTCACTCTGCTACACAATGTATCAACAGCCACGACCAAACACCTCTCTCTGCTACATAGTGTATCAACAGCCATGACCAAACACCTCACTCTGCTAAATAGTGTATCAACAGCCATGACCAAACACCTCTCTCTGCTACACAATTTAGCCAAACACCTCACTCTGTTACACAATGTATCAACAGCAACGTCCAAACACCTCACTCTGCTACACAGTGTATCAACAGCCACGACCAAACACCTCACTCTGCTACACAATGTATCAACAGCCACATCCAACCACCTCACTCTTTTACACAGTGTATTAACAGCTACGACCAAACACCTCACTCTGCTACACAATGTATCAACAGCCACGACCAAACACCTTACTCTGTTACACAGTGTATCAACAGCCACGACCAAACACCTCACTCTGTTACACAGTGTATCAACAGCCACGACCAAACACCTCTCTCTGCTACACAATGTATCAACAGCCACGTCCAAACACCTCACTCTGTTACACAAACATCTCACTCTGCTACACAGTGTATCAACAGCCATGACCAAACACTTCACTCTGCTACACAGTGTATCAACAGCCACGACCAAACACCTCACTCTGCTACACAATGTATCAACAGCCACGACCAAACACCTCTCTCTGCTACATAGTGTATCAACAGCCATGACCAAACACCTCACTCTGCTAAATAGTGTATCAACAGCCATGACCAAACACCTCTCTCTGCTACACAATGTAGCCAAACACCTCACTCTGTTACACAATGTATCAACAGCAACGTCCAAACACCTCACTCTGCTACACAGTGTATCAACAGCCACGACTAAACACCTTACTTTGTTACACAATGTATCAACAGCCACGACCAAACACCTCACTCTGCTACACAATGTATCAACAGCCACGACCAAACACCCAACTCTGGTACACAGTGTATCAACAGCCACGACCAAACACCTCACTCTGTTACATAGTGTATCAACAGCCACGACTAAAGACCGCACTCTGCTACATAGTGTATCAACAGCTACGACCAAACACTTCACTCTGTTACACAGTGTATTAAGAGCCACGACCAAACACCTCACTCTGCTACATAGTGTATCAACAGCCTCGACTAAAGACCCCACTCTGCTACACAATGTATCAACAGCCACGACCAAACACCTCACTCTGTTACACAGTGTATTAAGAGCCACGACCAAACACCTCACTCTTTTACACAGTGTATCAACAGCCACGAACAAACTTCTCACTCTCCTACACAATGTATCAACAGCCACGACCAAACTTCTCACTCTGCTACACAATGTATCAACAGCCACGACCAAACACCTCACTCTGTTACACAAACATCTCACTCTGCTACACAGTGTATCAACAGCCACGACTAAACACCCCACTCTGGTACACAGTGTATCAACAGCCACGACCAAACACCTCACTCTGTTACATAGTGTATCAACAGCCACGACTAAAGACCCCACTCTGCTGCATAGTGTATCAACAGCTACGACCAAACACCTCTCTCTGCTACACAGTGTATCAACAGCCACGACCAAACACCTCATTCTGCTACACTGTGTATCAAGGGTCACGTGACGATACACTGCCTGTTGCCTGTGAGTCTTTTGGCTACTTCTTTGTTGTCACATGACTCGTCTTTGTTGTCACATGACCCATAAGGTTGACTGTCAACACGTCCGCACTGAGAGAACACCTTTCAGAACCGAGTCGCTGTCGTGATGCAAAAGGCTAACATTCACCCCATGCTATCCTCATCCCAAGTTCCTCTCTTGGGGATCATGGATCGTGAATATTTGGGGTGATATTTTGTGTGTGGAGACTGAGCAAGCAATTTCATAAAAATACACCCTAAAATAATTCTGGATCCTAACATGTCTTTGTTAAGTATAGATAATTAGAGGTATTCATTTCTGAGCGGTGCTGTCGGGTAGCCTAGTGGTTAAAGCGCTCGCTCGTCACGCCGAAGACCAGGGATCGATTCCCGACATGGGTACAATGTGTGAAGCCCATTTCTGGTGTCCCCCGCCGTGATATTGCTGGAATATTGCTAAAAGCGGCGTAAATTCATAATCACTCACTCATTCCTGGGCGTATATGTAAATTTATTTGGGCACCATATGTTCGTCTAACTGAACCTGTGTGTTGTGACAGCATTTCCTATGTTGGACTAGGATGTAGTGATTCACAAATGCCAATAAGTAAGTGTAAGTTGCTTCAGGTTCAATGGTCAATGTATGACGCAGGCCTGATTTGGCACACAAAGTGCGCCTAAATCGAATAGAGTTTTGTCATAGGTTTTACACCGCTGTTAGCAATATTCCAGCAATATCACGGCGGGGGACACCAGCAATGGGCTTTACACTTTGAACCCATGTCGGGAATCGAACCCGAGTCTTCGGCGTGACGAGCGAACACTCTAACCACTAGGCTACCCGACCGCCTCTTTCTCTTGAGACAAAGACAGTACAAGCGTATGTTAAATGTTGAGTTTGGGTCGCGGACTTGTTCACATTCTTTCTCCGGTTTCTTACTCTCACTTTAGTCACGTGTCATGCCCTGCAGGTTTAAGAAAGACAAAAGCCCACTTGGGAAGCATTTTCTACGCCACTTTGAAACTTCTGTCTTACAATCATCTCTCCTTCCCCTCCCGACAGCCATGGATCAAGAGGAATCAGTTCAGTGTGTTCATATTAGTACAGAATACATGACGATGGGGAAGCGGTTAAAGATGTTACAAGGATTCATTTCTTACAACATGGCACGATATATAAATAGAGATAGATTCGTATAGCCGTCTTGCTCACGTGTGATATTAAAGAGATAAACTTGTATGTACTTTGATGTACATAGTATTTGTGTTCAATTTCCCCCCTTAACTTATCATATTTACAACATACAAGTTAGAGGTGAAAGGGACACTGTTCATAGCATCTTAACACTTTGGGTATTTCTTTGTACCTGCCAACTTCAACCATGAACCTGTGTGAGCTGCATCTAGTTAATGTTGAAGATATTCTGCATTTGCTTATATTTACTTCAGTTAAAAAAGATTCTGCGCATATTTGCATTTTAAAATATGTATAATATTCGCATTTGCTAGAAACATCAGCTACAGTAGATCTCCACGTTTGAAAGTACATATTTTCGATATGAATAAGAGCTATTTTTGTGTCAAAAATTTTGAAGAAAGATTTATAACCACAGTCGCTTAAATGTTCAAAAGTTTGTCAAATTCCCAATAACATCTTTTAAGCTTGGCCTGCTGCATTACGCATATGTCGGTTATATGATAGTGTACTTGAAAATATTACACCAAGATATTTATATTAGGTTTCAGTTTGAAGTAATTGTCCCCGAAAGTACCACTTTTCAATTTTGACAGCGTATTTCCTTTGTTTACGTTGAATATACCTATCTTTAAGAGCATGGAATGTAAACATAGTATCAGTGGTAGAGTAAACAAGTCGAAAACATGCTTGCTCTTCTTCGACCTTATCAAGTGTATCCGACCACAATACCAAGCGTTTATTAATAATGCTAATAAATATCTTACTGAATATACTGGTAGGAGGAATCCCGCGTCTTCACTTTGACCCGGACATGGTCAGTAGAACAGATGGAGACCCTTGTATCTCCACACTAGGACTTCCCGCCCTGTACCGACGCTGACCAAGGCACACTCACGGTGTTCTGCAGTCTCATCACCAGTAGAGCTGTGCCAAGTCTGGGTACATTCTTTCCCTCAACATGTGGCAAACCCCCCATAGAAGGTTACATTGGTTAAATGAAAGTATGCAGAGGTATTTTTTAATGTAATTGAAAATTGATAGAACTGTCGTTAAATCATGTCTGTTTAACCATGATCTGTTGGATTAATGTAAACTGGGGTAGGAGTTTGCCACCACATGACGCCTCCTGTGTTTGAAACTGTCACTCTCCCATGTTGGCGGACTGTGAAGCTGATTGATCACCGAATTAGTTCACTGAATCGCAGGTAAGAAAAACGGATTTATAGTTATTTTCCACATTTGTTGAAATTCAGGTCGGCCAACACATAGAGGCCGACTGCGGGAAGACCCTAGCAGCCCCGTGTCTCATACACCAGTTACGTTATATTCATAACTGGTCATTGTGCGGTCCCTTTGTACAGGCCGACAAAAGCGGTGCAGCGGATAAACCAGTTTTCTATACAGCAGCTGGGAGCTTCGTTATGGGCCGCTGGTGTCGCGAGGAAGCAGTTGTACTTCTCGGGTCGCCGAGTCCCAGGTATTCCGGCCCGGGTAGCCAGGTAGCTAGGCGACCGTGCAGGCCATTGTGTAGAGTGCGTGGTTCGCTGTTGGCGGACAAACAGGACCAGCCATCACATTGGAACGTGGACACGTAAGATCGGAGCGTTGTGCCAGGTGTTCTCCATCAGGTAAGTGTGTCCTGTAGTTCTCACACTGACCCTTGCAGGACAGGACTACTGGCCATTAACCCTAACCTGTCACTGCTGAAAGATTCTATTTCCTCAATATTTCGTTCACAAGGGGTATTCCTGAGAAACCTGCTTGTGATACCAGGAAGCCGAGTTAACTTCGAGGCATTGATAACGTGCATATAAATACATTTTGTAAAAAACACTAGGCAAACAATAACATCCCAACAGAGAACCCGTGCTTGCGTGAAACCTGCCTGAAGCACTTCCAAGATTGTGGTAGAATAACCGATCGCGAGTGATTGGCGTTTGCTCATCACGCAGAAGAAGTCTGGGTGGTTCGATTTCCAATATGGGTACAGTGTCACTTGTCCCGCGTGACATGGAGAGAATAATGCTGAAGAGAGGCGTAAAACTCACTCACTCACTCACTCAGATTGTGCTTGCTCTGTTGAAAAGCCATATGCAGACACAATTTGCAAAATATAGTACGATGTTTGACTGGAATCATTAAAACAGGATAGTATTATACCACATAAAATAAAAAAGAAGAAGAAATTATTTTGAGTGGCAATGCATTTCCATAGGGATTGATTCTGGATAGAATGCCCGTATAATGAACTGCCAAATGTAAAACAAGGAATGGTTAAAAGGAACTAAATAGGATGATACCGCATTACATAAAACGCCACATATAAATAAAAAAATATGTGTAAAATATAAATAAAAGTGTTTTATTGAAATAAATTAGAAAGGAATTTAAATGTCAATAACAATTAGAGGATCAATACGAAAGTTAAGAACAACACTGACATGAGTAACGGTACATTAATGGCATTTGGCATGTGCAACAAATAATGTCGCAGGCACTAATGATGTTAAAATAACATCATCTTGCACAAAGTAAAACATATTTGGTGCCTCTTCAAAGAACTATGAAAACATATTACTGCTCATATTGGTGTTGACGTTTTTGGAACTGCTATATAAACGTGATCCACTGGTCATTTACCACGTCTTCCCACCTAACTACTAGTATAGGACATATTCAACGTAACTACACACCCCTGGCAGATGTTCAGTTGAATATAGTCAGTATATCATGTTGTAATTGAATATACTGAATACAGCATGTTTTAGTTGATTATATTCAGTATAACATGTATTAAGTTTACTAAATACAGCATGTTTTAGTTGACTATATTCAGTATAACATGTATTAAGTATACTAAATACAGCATGTTTTAGTTGACTTTATTCAGTATAACATGTATTAAATATACTGAATACATCTATAGTAAATGTAAAGAATACAGCATGTTTTATTTGAATACACTAAATATAGCAAGTTTTAAGTATACTAAATATATCATGTTTAAATGGAATATATTCAGTATAACATGTTTTAAATATACTGAATACATCATGTTTTAAATATAAAGAATACAGCATGTTTTATTTGAATATACCAAATATAACATGTTTTAAGTATACTAAATATAGCATGTTGTAATTGAATATACTCCATATAGCATGTATTAAATATACCGAATATTGCATGGCTTAATTGAATATACCAAATTAGGCATGCTTTAATTGAATTAAGTCAAGTATAGTATAGATTAAATATGCTGAATAAAGAATGTTTTAATTGAATATACTAAATATAGCATAGTTAAACTGAATATACTCAGTATAGCTTGTTATAAATATACTGAATAAAACATGTTTTGTTTGAATGTACACAATATAACATGTTTTACTTGAATATACTCAGTATAGCATATGTTGAATATATTGAATATATAATTACACACTGTCATTTAAAAGGTGGTCACAAGTAACAAATGTAGCAAATATTTGGATAACACTTTCTTAGTACAGATTCTTGTTCTTTTTGGGGTTGAGTCCCATGCGGGATTCGAACCCATACACCCAGAGTGAGGCACCTAGTCAGCAGCACACCAAGTCAGCTATCTAACCCACTCAGCCACCGATGGATGAACAATTTCTTTATTACAATTAAGAGCGACGTTTCGGTGCAGGTTCTAACACCGTTATCAAGAAAGTGATGTACAGAGTATGGTTGACCAGCATATTAACAGGTACGAGGTACTGTTTATACAGTTGAAACAGCTCAACGTGATGTCAACATGGTTTTATTTCTTATAACATTATTTGAATTTAAACCTTTAAAAATTTAAAAATTAAGAAAAAACATCTTTCACATAATACACAGCCGCTGATTGGTATCGTGTCTTTAAAACTCAACAGATTAGATAATTAAACTGAGTGACGGTTAAATAGACATAATCATATTTATCAACAGTTCTTTAAAGTTTCAATTACGTGATAAACAAACTCGATTTACTTTCTCTAACTCGTAACTACATGCTGAATTTTAACTGTAGACGTGTAGTGCCTTATGACAACCACCGATCACCCGACTCCACTGCAAACACTGCTTGAGATTCATCCGAAAATACATTTCAATGGCTTTGCGAGGCAGATCTAGTTTGTTTGCACATGAAACAATATACCGTATTAGTTGTAGGAAACAAGTGGGGCTAATGATCGTACACACCCAACACCGCACACAGCGAATGTTATTTAACGCCGCATCACATCCGGCTGAAAAACAACAGCGGCCGAGTAGTTGCTGGTGGTGTGAGCAACTAGCGCCACCGTCGGGTCACGATCCTACGTTGTGCACCCGATCCTCACCGACTACAGCATGGGTTTCTTGGGCCAAGTCACTAAGTGCTAAGCGCTATTCCATCAATTGCAGTCGCCAAGCTGACACGCCGCCACCGGATGCGACTAATGGTCAAAGCGGCGTCAAATCCAACTCACTCACTCACTCACTGAACGAGTACATGTTTGTAGGTTCCGGTGGAAGCAAGATACATGTAATACTTGTGTGGATGTTGATGTCACCCCGAGGTGATGAGCCTCCAGAACAACGTCAGCCTGCATTTCGGTCGCCATTTTCTCGAAGCCACACTCTCACACGCTTGCGTCCCTTTGGATCTTCGGATCGTGGGTTCGAATCCAATAATCGCCAGGATAATGGTACTTGGTCTGCCTGTTGGCTTCTCCAAAGTGTTAAACGTCTTCAAATGGTACCACTTCGGGCTATCCTCCGCATTAAGTTGAAATAGTGCCGGGTTTGAACCCAACTCACACACTGATCATGAACGTGTGACAAATCGTCAGAAACAATCTTTCCAAGCACTTACAAATCTTTTATTTCATATTTGAAAAACCGCCTCCGTGGTCTAGTGGTAGAGCGTCCGCCCGGAGAGCGTAAGGTCCGGGGCTCGATACCCAGACGCGTCATACAAAAAGACGTTAAAAGATGGTACTTGTTGTTACCCTGTCTGGTGCTCTGTATTAAGGGGCTAAAACAACGACTGGTCGGCTCGGAGTCAGTATACTGTGTCTGAGTGAGGTATTCATGTTAAACTGTGGCATGGTATCTCGGTGGGCTAGCACTATAAATCGGCAGTCGGGAGTAGTACCCCCCCCCCCCCACCCCCCCCCACACACACACACGGGTATGCACGTCGCTATATAAGTGCAAAAATCTTGGACGCGACGTTAAACCCCATTTCACCTCACCTCATTTCATTCAATTTATTGAATTGAGAATATGTATCGAGAAATGTACAGCAACTTCCATCAGCGCATTTCGCCAGCGTCTCTCCCCGGTAGGAAGGCAGAACGGCGTCTTAGCGTGCAAGAGATATATCCCACAACTTCCCACTGTCATGGTGTCAGCACGATATCGCAATAATCCCACAAAGAAATGCTCAACGTGCATACGATCCATCTACAAAGAATATTCTGGTTGCAATGCATGCACGCGGTTGAACATTCTGGGGAGGGCACCTGTAGGGTCATCTCCCGCTGGGTAGCACCCGGTCACCTGTATTGATTTGAGCAAGGTGGCGCCTGGCCAATCAGACATCAAGATTTCATAAAAAAAGATACGTTCCTATTCAGTACAATGCAACAACTTAAAACGACAGTCTACTAATATAGCCACCAAGCGGCGTGCCATATACAATGCTCCACCCGCCGCGCAGGAGAAGCGAGTGTTAGTTTCGCCCGTGGTGTGATCGTGAATACATTTAGTACCTAAAGGTAAGCAGATTTATTCACTTACAGTTACCATGGATACTGGCAGGTAGTGTACACGTCCCCGCGGCCGTCATGGCCACCTTGCCCATTGTGATCCTGACCTGAAAGCTGTCGGAAACAACGGTAAACACCAAGGGCGGGTCCACCAACATTTTAAATGTTGTTGTTGTTGCTGTTATTGTTGGGGGGAACTCACAATTGTTTGGCTGAACCAGGAAATGTTTCTCGAGCATTTTAAATCTGCGCCTGTCATTCTTATCGCCAAGAAAACCTTATTTTTCCAATTCCCCGCGTCATATGAAGCAGACTCGGGTATCCACGAAACGACCACAAACGTTTTCCGTTGTAATAAACAGCCGCCTCCATTGTGTGCCGCGTCCAGTGTGTGCCGCGTCCAGTGCGTGCCGCCTCCAGTGTGTGCCGCCTCCAGTGCGTGCCGCGTCCAGTGTGTGCTGCCTCCATTGTGTGCCGCGTCCAGTGTGTGCCGCGTCTAGTGTGTGCCGCGTCCAGTGTGTGCCGCCTCCTTTGTGTGCCACGTCCAGTGTGTGCCGCGTCTAGTGTGTGCCGCGTCCAGTTTGGGCCGCGTCCAGTGTGTGCCGCGTCTAGTGTGTGCCGCGTCTAGTGTGTGCCGCGTCTAGTGTGTGCCGCGTCCAGTGTGTGCCGCGTCCAGTGCGTGCCGCGTCTAGTGTGTGCCGCGTCTAGTGTGTGCCGCGTCTAGTGTGTGCCGCCTCCTTTGTGTGCCGCGTTCAGTGTGTGCCGCGTCCAGTGGATGCTGCGTCTAGTGTGTGCCGCGTCTAGTGTGCATCGTCCAGTGTGTGCCGCGTCCAGTGCTTGCCGCGTCTAGTGTGCGCCGCCTC